AACTTTGTCTTTCCTAATCGAATTCCTCAACGAACAATTACAGGCCGGTATTACATGTTAAAAACTTGAAATCATGACGGCCATTACGATTCAATTGACATTAAATATTTAACAGTACCATTAATCATCTTTTGATACATCGGATTTATACGTGTATCCGATATATATATATATACCACGTAAGGTTAAAATCTACCCGAGACTTAACTTAGTTATTAGTCGATAACTCTGTTATCTCTTAAACTCTCATTGGTTGGCAAGGTATTCAGAAACGTTTCTTTCAAATTTTATCGCAGATTGTGCTTTGTTATAGTCGCAGATCATTAAAGTTCAACAACTCGAGCGTTAATTATATTTTATATTAAAATCTTATCCTAACACATTGTTGATCGGTTACAGGTTAACTTGTGTTTTTATGTATAAAGTAGAATTGTTCGATCTTGCATAAAATAGGCGGCGGTACGCGTTAATTTTTACGTAAAATAACTGGTCAACAATGTATTAACAGCCCATTAGGTAATATTGGCAAAGTCTTTCGACGTTGGAAATGAAATATATAATTACATTCTTAAGTTAACAACTTTTAAGTGAAAGCAATACCACGATATTAGCGAAAGAGCCATGGAAAATCTCGCATGCATAACGGTGTATTCAATTCAGCGATACAACTTTCTCTGTGGTATTTCCTACGTTTCCATGACATCATCGTTTCTCGAATACCTCTTTACTCTCTACTCTATGACCATACAATTTCACGATGATTTTCAACAAATTCCTGGGAAGCGTGATTAAACGCCTTCGAAACGAAAGATGCGAGTAAGTGTGCACTTATCGGTACTGCACATAGCAACGATACAATATATGTAAATATGTGAACCGATCCAAAGGTAGTCGTTATCGTATAATACACCATTAATAGATACGCAGTGGTATACGGTGGATCGTCCAACTTTTCTCGTTTCGCTTCATCCAAAGATCAATCGTATTACTTTGTATATAAATTAATCGCCCAGTGATCTAACGTTTTTCATAGGACAACTATATTCTCCTTGCTCCCTGCATTTCGTGCAGAGGAGAAACATTATTCAACGACCCATGCTCTCTGTGAATTACTCTGTGAAGCTTCAGTGTTCGAAGTATCCACACTGTTCAGCCACGTTGGCCTCAATACCTAATTAACCGAAGTTGATCCGGCTACCGTCTATTCTTCAAATCTCCTCGGTCGTTTTCCGATTCGCGTTTCGTGCCGATCCGCGCGGCACAAGATGTTTAGTTCCAGAAAATCCTTTAATCCGCTGGATAGAAACGTAAAATCGCACGACCTTGAATCTCAGAGTGACACAGCTTGCGGACCACGTCGAGAACCTCTTCTGCAGGATAAACGGTATGTGGCGGGGGCTCGATTTCACCGGAAGCCACCAGCTCGACCAATTCGCGAAGTTGCTCCAGAGTACCAGCCTCCACTGATTTGATACTCTGTTGCCATTCCTCCGCGCGTCTGCTGAATTTTGGTAGCAATCGATCGGCCACTTCTTTGATCACGAACACCACGCCTCCTTTGCTCAGGCATTGCATACTGCGATGTAGACTGCGCGAGGTTGTACCGAAATCGATCACCACATCCACGTGACCTTGACAGGCATCCATCGTGCGCTCGATCAGCTGTTTCTCGTACAGATCCTCGCTCCATTGTACCACGTTCACGCTGTAGTGAGAAAGGAAACTGTTGGTGAATAAATCGAATGGACTTCGGATAGGATGCAGATGGACTCGGTTATTTAGCTATCTACTCTAATTTCTTGCACCATATGTATAGGAGATCGAATGGAAATTAAAACGATGTTTCGATAAAAGGGTAGAAAGATTTAGGCGATCAAGGTATTGTCTGAACCAAATCGGATTTATTTGGATTTAATGAAAATATGTTTTATTGAAATAGGTTTCGATAAGGGAAATTATTTAGTTGTAAGATCGAGGTGTTGGGATAGGGTTTGAATTTTTAAATCGTTACACGGGACTGATTTGTCAATTCATTAACAACCACAATGTTCAGTGTAATGCAATATTCCGTTTGTAATATCTTCGATCAACTTATACGTTATTGAATTTTGGTTTGTAATATTTTGTTAGAAAAGTTATTAAGGGAATTCTTTCCATCGCTGTTTCCAGAGATCTAGGTTTTATAATTTTACGAAATTTTATAAATAGTATAAGCTATCTTCTTTTTAATGGAAATTATTTTTATATCTCTGATTTATATATATCTAGCGAGTAGACTGTGGATGTTCATGTAAATTGATGTTTTTTCTGAATACGATTAAAAGAATGGAACCTAAACGGAAACTTGCTTTATCCTCTGAATGTTGCAATGAGCACTGTACTTCGGATATCTTGAACATATAAGGCTCACTAATAGTATGCTACTGAGCTTTCGTGAAGTATCCATTATTGTAATACATCTCTCTTCTATCTACAATATATAAATTACTTTATTCAAGTTTCCCAATAATGTTGCGTTCATGCACTACTTCACTGCTTGGTCCTCAATAAATTAATTTCGATACCTAAGTCATGTTCCTTATTCCTAAACGTGATACTGGATAACAGACAATACTACATATCAAACAATACTACTTCTACTAATCTAAACCAACTACTTACTGACAAGTGCTCAAACAGTTACCTTTAAATCACCGACAATCATTTCATCGAAAATGTCCTTATCGACACGATTTCACCGATACCTAGTTTGCCGACCATTTTTATTTACCCACACATCAATGCGCTAATACCTTTAATAATTAATATCACCGATATAGATTAAAATAATAACTTTAATCTATTTCCCCGTTTGTCTATTTATATATAATAAGATAGCATTTTTCTGTTTCTCTTAATTGTAATTATTATTTGGAAATATTCACGCGGACATGTAACATGCTGATAACTAAGTAGATAACTATAAGTCATAGTGAGTTTCATCATTTTCCCGTTTTTCTTTACCTTTTTATGTATGGAAATGAACGTGTAGATAAATATGTAGATGAATAGAATAGTCAACGATGACACATCACGGTAGGTATAATATAATAATTGCCGGCAAAAAAGAACGAGGGAGACATCGATCGCCAGTAATTTAAAGGTAATCGACTGCTGAAAGCTGTACATGCAAATGAAAGACGACAGAGTGCAGTGATTATCAGAAATTGGAATACATTATACATACATATAGACAACGACATGTTTCGATCTCTTTTTCAATCCTTTTTATCGGTTTATATAATATTCAAATCGGATGACGCATCGCGTATATAAAAGTATGCGGAAGAGATCCGAGATACGAATTTATGTAATAGCAATCACGGAAAAGATAGATAGAATCGAGCAGAACGTCGATGTATCTAAATGACTTTATCATTGGTGTCGACACGATCAATTAGCTCGAATAACAAAAACAAAACGACTTTGCTAATCGACCAAACACTGCCAGCTGCCTAGTTCAAAGATCAACGACGAACAATGATCAGTTTAATACGCGTCGTTCATCTAGCAACCAATTAAAGGCGAGTCTAGCTTCAAGAGAAGGTCAATTCCCATGGTGAATCGTTAAAAAATTTATATGTGATATCACATGATTATTTGTTATCATGTGATCATAGTTACAATGTGATTATTTGTTATCTCAATAGATACGCTAATGCTCAAGTGTATCCAGATATGCATTTGTTTATATTTGATAAGATGCAATTTAATTACGGAATTCTAGATAAAAAGAGAACTACTTGAGTCTTTAATGACGCATACGAATTGGATTTTCAACTGTTAGTCAACAAATACGAAACGGTAGGAAATCCTCGTTCCAACTTAATGAAAATACTTGATTTTTTCGAGAATCTTTTACCTCTAATCTATTTGAATTAAAATTCATTAGTTTACCGACAGTACTTTATCTTCAGTTTTTCCAGACTATGAGCTTGACGAAACATTACTACTGTCACTGAGTTCCCAGAGAAACGTAATGTCCAAGGTCAGATGACAGGTGAAAATGTCGAGAATTCATTGTTCGGGAGCTAACAACACCAAGAATATCATTTCTCTCGAAGGATCTCGCTTCTTCGTCGCAAAGAAAACATATCGGCAATAAGAGACGTATTCGCAGTAAAAGACGTATTTGCAATAAGACACGTATTTACAACAACAAACATATTTACAGTTCCTATCGTCTACCATCTAACATCAACAAGGTCGTCCTATCCGACGCTCAAAACAACTCACCGTTGGAATTCCTGAGCCATAGTCAGTCCATCGTCTTTCAGCGAAGCGATTGTAATGGTAACCCTATCCTTCATGTTGCTGAAGTGATACGCCGCGATTCTCAGAGCCCAAAGTGCCAGACCGCCAGTGCCAACAATTAGAATCTTGCAAACGCTCTTCTCGCCTCTCTGCTTCAGCACCGCTTGAACGTGTTCATGAGCAGCAAAAACGGTGTTCATGGCTAATAGAGCACCAGCTGGTAACATGGCCGCTACGCTGAGGCTGACGTTATCTGGTATCTTTATAAGATACTTCAGATCGTGAACGACCAGGTATTCGACGTATCCATTTGGAATTCCCTCGTAAGGATAAAGAATCACTCGATCTCCAACCGTGTAGCCGCAGTCCTCGGGAACATTCGCTCCAAGGGACTCGATCACTCCTGCTACCTCGTATCCAGGGAACAGAGCTGCGTCACGGACTCCGTGATGAGGCAACGATGCCGGGAAGTCACCCTCCAGAGAAACATCTGTCGCTAAACTGCTTCCACTGGAGACAGAGGTCAGGCTGGATAGGCTTGGCGAACGACGAGGATGGTAGCAAGCACCTGCACACATCACCCGGATCCGGGCTCCGTGCGCTGGAACATCGGGAACAGGAACGTCGAAACTGAACACCCATTCGCGACCCGTCACGCTCGGGCTGTCGATGGACACCTGTCTGCATAGTTTGTTCATCTTCTTCTCCCTGCAAAGAGACACCAATGAATAGGCTGAAGGGTACTTTGAATATAAGTAAATTAGGTATATTTCGTTCTGCGCTTTTTATTTTACCCACTAAATGTTATTACGTGGATATTATATTTTTTCGTTTCTAATTTTCGTACAGCGAATATTACGCGCATTGTATGTATTTTTGCAGAATTAAAATTTTATGTATGAACATCCGCAGTCTGGATACAAAGTATCGGGAGAAAATTATTTTTGGGATGTTTCTCAGTGTCAAGCTTATATATACACATATATAACGCAAGCTATGTCAACACTGATACGTTCTTTGAGTCATTTTCGATTCAGTCGAAAACGAAAGAATTCTCGCTTATATGCGCGATTCTTCGTTTCAAGTTTATACTAAGATCTTTTCCAAAACGTCGAAGATCTCGTCCATTTCACGAAAACAAAATTGAGATACAACGATTTGATGAGCGAAATTGTATCCGCCGTACGAAAAAGTATGATACTGTTATATTTTATAAAAGTCTACGAGCGAGGAAATAAATTGATTACGTTAATATCAATTATATTAAACAGCGAAAATTTCCAGACAAGGCCAACAAATTACAAGCGACGTATCGGAAATTTTGAAGCAGCCGCAACCGCAAGCGGAAACACGCCGTTAGCCCCAGTTTCTACGCGTCAGCTGTTGCCTCTTACACAAGACTCCACCAAGGTACGTATACGACTATATCATATATCAAGATAATCGAGGCAATTTCACACTCGCGCTGGCCTCAACTCTCTTTCAATAAACGTAATTCACTAAACGAGATTAAAACACATGCATACCCGTTACAAGGTGAGAAGGGCTTGTGTGTGATCGGTGCCACTGACTCCAATTCGACGGGCATTCTGTATCAGGCTTTTCTTACTTCTATTTCACAGTGCTCGATTATTATCAACAACTCCACTCTAAATCTATTCTCGAAAAATTTCAATCTCCTTCAAGAGGATGGAATCTCGTCAACGAATCTCGCGACTCGATTCTTCGAATTCACAATAAGATCAAACGCTCGTGGAATTATCTCACTTTCGAATATATCAAGTTGAAACTTGGTTGAAGGCAAACGAACGATTGGAAGGGAACGACTTCGAGTTACGAAGAAAATAAGAACTTTGGTAAAAACAGAGTACGTTGCTCTGTGAACGCGTAAAACGTACTAGTGGAGCGCGCTCACGCTCCTTCACTTTTATACCCGGACGGGCTTTCTCGTTCAAGCTGCGTTAGTCATGGTAGGCAGAAAAGGAGTCATGGTAGGGATCCGAAGAAACGGAACGTAAGCAGGTACGAGCATTCGCGTACCACGTGCAACCTCTGTTTTTCTCCTATATCGACGCCCTCACGTTCGTCCAGTGCTTCGTGATAGACGCATGAATGAGGCGGAGATAGCTCGTGTTTTTATTTCGATGACGACTGCCATCGATTTAACTCTTCGAACACGTATTTCGAGACTCCGTGCTGCAAATTCTATGATCTTCGTTGGGGTGCCCCACGTGTTGTTCGTGGAATATGTTTCCGAACAATAGAAGTACGTAAAAGCAATAGAAGAGGTGTAATTATACGTTTCTCGATAATAGTTCACGTATTATCGACATTACGTTTTATCGTGAATCGATCGCGATGTATTCGAAAATTATTTGAGAAAAACGCGATGAGATCGTTCTTTTTCGTCGATTCGCTGATTGTTATCTTATTTACGAGTAAAATGAAATATTTCAACTCCTTGTACTTATTCTACTGGGTTATTCCTGTGCAGCTAGAACGACCTTGATGATGTGAGAATCAAGAGAATCTTGTATCTTCTTCACCGATAACAAATAAGAGAGAGAAAAAAAGCTATCGTATAAATAAATTTGTGAACATATATAGCCTTTTGACGATGTAGCAAAATAAGAACGAATACTTCTTTATAATAAAAAAAATTATTTCTCTATCAGCGATATTTCTTGCGTTTTTGGTATCGGATATAAGAGATACACAAGAAGTATTAATAATTACGTTGCAATGTTACCCAGCGTTACAACAACAGATATCTTTGACTAATATGAGAATTTGCATGATTACATCTAATCGTCGTCTATGGAAAAAAACGTGAAATTAAAACTCAGAGGGGAAACAGTAGTCTTTGTATCTAAAGGTGTGCAGGTGAGAATTTGCTTGATTATAATTATATCTCGTTAGAGAATTTGCAAAAATATTGCCTTATCCTCGACGTGTTAACAACGATGGAAATCTTCATCTGATATTGGAAATTTCTTGAAATCGCATAGAAGTAATTCGGAGAATGTAAAGTATATATCGCGTGTTATTCATCGCTAAGATAAGGTAATCTTTCTATAACGATCACGAGAAACCGTCTGACCATCTCGTATTTTCATATAACGAATAGATATTGGATATATAGACAACACGATATCAATGAATATGGGAACTCAACATGTTCTGAGACAATAAAAATGCTGATATACGTTATTAATTATTCAGATGTGTGAAAGTTATATATAGTCGATATTTAATAAACATTATCTTATCGGCAGAATGTTCTATTCCTAAAGCGTAACTTTGTTGAACGAGTAATCAATATTCTTCGAAATGTGGTTATTTCTATGTCTTGACTTGTTTCAAAGTCGATAAGTAAATTTAACGAATATCGCGCTGAATGAAGCGATCAAAAAATTACCTTTAGTAACGTAATTAATATCTTTGAAGTCTTTTTATTGCAGAAAAAGGGAGAAATTTCTTTCATATTTAACGTTTAGTTTAAGTATCTAAATCAATATCCAGATTCTATATTTAATATAAATACTTTCAATATTGAATTGGCTAATCGTTTCAAGTAGCGTAAAGGAACGATGAAAATGCAATAAGTTATATATAAAAGACTATAATTAATGTAGTACGATAATAAATTAATATTAAAATGGTATATTAAAAATAGATAAATTAATGAAAATAGATCGTGGCTCTGTCTTAGTAAAATTCAATGTTAAAAACGATTGTTAAAAACGATTGTTAAAAACGAAAAATTAAAAACTCGTGATTTTTACAGAGTTGTTTAAAAAAAAAGCTAAAGACTAATTTGGAATTTGAATATCTTGGAATAGACTCTGAACAGGGTAATTGATTCTTTTCTCAAACGACGTAGAAGATTGTAAAAACGATCGATAAACTTCGAAATTTTCCCGAATCTTTCAGTTGGATTCTCTTAAATGTTTGATTTAACCTTCCTGATCACTAGTGTTCTCCAGTGCGATAAAATAAAATAACGATGATCGGTTATTAATTTGATGTATCATATGGCACTCATGTGACACATCATATGGCATATCATATGGTTGTGCTTATAAAGAATGACATTGTTTTGTTTTGACTCAAATAATACGCATATGTATGTAGCCATGTGTTTATTATTGATCAAGTGGTGACATGGATCTTATCAACTTCGCGATGACCCTTCCAATGCTGTCCAATTTTCATCGTACGTCATACGAATCCGCATGCAAATAATCGCTGAATAATTTCAGACAAGATTCACCTTGAGACGAAATTAATTTTTCCCCTAAGAAATCGTCGCCAATTGTTCCAAATACTTCACGATGTGCTTTAAATTGCACGAATTTATTTCGCCAGCGACGATGCTGATAACGACCGATTTACAATATTTAAATAAAACCAAGTATCATGTGTTGTACACGTGAACGTAAATGGAAATGGAAAAGAAGAGTCCTTCAGCGGCAAATAAAAAGCACACTCGATTGTGAAATATAATAAAAATACAGATAAAATAGAAAAAGATTGTGAGTTATGTGTAGGAGGGATCGTGTTGGCCCTCGTACTAGTTTCAGACGAAGTATCATAATAGCCAGCGTTCGGTTATCGTCAAGAAATTATCAAAATCTGGGTTAAACATTCGTTTACGAGAATAATTGCCCGAGTTTTTCAGTAGGAGATAGAATAAACGTTGCCTCTGAAATTCGTTTCCTCTGTTTATCAGTTTCTATAATTCATTATCAAGTGATTTATTCGATAAACCACGAGCATCTTTTTGTAATATTTGCATTGTGGTACGTTTATAATTGCTTGACACATAAGCGATCGTCAGCAACAAACAGGAACTTGGGGCAAGTAGAATAAACGAGGAAAGGACAGCCCTAACGTTAGATCTAGTATTACTTGATCCTTAACTCGTTAAGAACCAAGTAGTGAAATAACATGTGAAAAATATGTAAATGCGATATTATTGCATAGTAAGAAACTTGGGAGTCTGGAAATCCGAAGATCTAAAAGACTGAAACTTGAAAAATTTGAAGGTGAAACACTGCGTTTCAAACTATTATTTGGCCTTGTTAGAAAATACTTACATTGTAATAAACACGATAGCAAAGATATTAAAAGATATAAAAAAAAATAAATTACGGTGTTGTCAACAATCGTGATTGAAGAAGGTCATAGAAAATAAAAAAAAAAAAGAAAACTATGATCTTCTTTATCACGATTGTTGACAACAAGGTAATTGTGAGAAGGTTAATTAACGAGGTCAATTAAAAGGAGTTCACCATTTCAATAGAGAGAATAACGCAACGCAGTTGCAATCTTTTTCAACGCATTGTTCGAGTAAGTCAATTCGATGATAATGACGTACGATAACGTCAACGCCTACATTTCCTCCGTTACCTAATTAATTCTAACTATTAGCATTAATACATCGTGTCTTTGCCATTATATCTGACTGGCATCGTTATTATCGTAGGTGCGAAATTTGCAGTCACATCAAACACGCGGAAACAGACCGAGACAGACAGTTTGTCTAGATCCCGGAAATGCTTACTTCATGCTGTACTGAAATAGCATGAAACACGATAAGAAGACAATGTAGATACTTAAGAATTATTTTAGGTTTGTCCTAGAACCGTCTTTGATTGTTTCGCATAACGAACAAAGTTCTCATAGCGAATAGGAGCAGGACTCGTGATAACAATACCAATGAGAGTACCATGTATTTATTTTTTACTTTACGATTCTCCAAATATTTTAAAAATAATTTTTTAAATGGTGCTTTAAATTATTTTTTGGCAATCCTTTAATCGTTAACAGACTATAATAGAGAAAATTCCAGTCCACGCAAATTTTGTTTTAGTAGTATCATCCTGTAATAATACCGTGGCAATGTTACGTAATAACCAGTGCAAGTAATAATTTTGCCACATTTCATCCACTCATCGAATAATAGCGAGAATAATTGAGAAATAATTGAATTGCATTTGTTTGACTTTGTTCTGTAAAATAAATCTTTTCCTCTTTTAAACATTTCCAAGTGATTTTTCTAAACTCATCATCTTGTAGGCAATTATTTCACTAATATTTCTAAGACGGATTTCTAAAGAAAGGAAACCTAGACGAAACTGAATTGTTTTCACATAGAGCTAAGAAACAGCAGCAAAATACAATTAGCTGCAATTACGATACTAACCTTGGCTTCGAGGAGGAGCATAGTGCCTCATGCAGCTTGCATTGTGTAAGAACGTGTTTGTCATTCGCAATAGGTAAAAAGATACTGTTATTCGTGCTTTATACCATATTTTGATCGCACATCAATCGATTATCTTTTTGTTATCAAAAATACGATTTATTATTTTATTTTTAAGAAAACTACCTTGTCAATACCTTCGTTATACTGAAGTCGATTATTATATTGTTGATCAACTCGTTTTATCTCGTACAAACAGTAGCTGTTTGACGCTTTTTTATTACACGATATGTACTTTACAAACTGTTTATATAATAATCTTATACAATAAAACAGCTCAACCATTCGAATAAATGGTATTAGAGAATATCTCGCTAATACGTTCCCTTGGTACAGAACAGAATCGATCAATTTTCACACAAAGTCCCCCAAGCTAACATTCACCAAGCTTTT